AACTCATCGCACACCTCATGCAAATTCCAAGCACCCACCACCTTCGCGCCATAAACCTTCTCAATTGATGCCTTGTCTTGCTCTGCGAGGGCCTTGTCGTCAGTCACTCCTGCTGCATGGAATATGCCGCGCACGGGAGGCCAATCATCAGACTGAAGCTCCTTAAATGCTCTAAGCACGTCTTCCCTCTTGCTCACGTCGCACTTGATGTTTACTACATGGATATTGGGTGGCGTGCTCAACAGATACTGCCAAATATCTCCCTCCCTAAGTTCCGCTGACGGCTCGCCAGATCTCGAAAGTAGTGCAATGTGCCGTGCACCTTCCTCTACGAGCATCTTGCACACAACAAGTCCAAGGGCTCCGTGGCCACCTGTGATTACATAGGACTTTTGTAGAAGCGCCGTATGCGCCTTTGGTGAAAGTGCGCTGGGGATCGTGAGGACCACTTTGCCAACGTGTTGTGCCTTCTGGAGGAAACGGAACGCCGCAACACCTCCGTCTTGTTGATCGGTCATATCGAAAACCGTTGCTGGAATGGGACTTAAGTCTCCAGTTTCCAGTCGCTGAGTCATACGATGCAGCTGAAGGGCAAACCAGCGAGGATTGTCTTCAATCATAAGATCTACTGCGACAGTCTCATATTGGACATCGGGCCGTGCCGCTTTCATTTGTTCGTGAGTCCAAATGCCCCTTTTCCCCAGCTCAATAAAAATGCCATTTTCCGACAGGAACGAAAGCGAAGCCGAAATGAAGGGGTCTAGTAGGGAATTGAGCACAACGTCCACTTTTCCATTGTTGCCAAGGTATTTTTGCATATCCTTGATAAATATGTCTGGTTTCCGACTTGATGTCACAAACTGCACACCCAACTCTTTCACATACTTGGTCTTAGCTTCACTTCCGCAAGTACCATACACAATAGCTCCGACGCGCTTGCAATGCTGAATAGCAACAAGACCGACCCCTCCCGAAACTGCATGGATTAGAACCTTGTCGCCTGCCTTCACTCTGGCAAGGTCCCCAAGTGCATGCTGAACAGTGGTTGCCACAACTGGAAGAGTGGCACCTTCTGCAAAAGACAAGCCTTCGGGGAGTTTCCACAGCAAATCTTCGCTCGTAACTGCGAAAGTCCTTAGACATCCAGGAACAATGCCAAATACAGTATCACCGAGCTTCAAGCGCTTCACTTCTGGACCCACTGCTACTACTGTTCCTGCGCAGTCGGACCCGGGAGGTCCAGGATCTCCGGGATAAAGTCCCATTACGTTCAGGACATCGCGGAAATTCAGGCCAATGGCACGCACTCTGACCTCTACCATGTTTCCTTTCGGTTGTCTCCTGTGGCTGACTGCCTGTGCCCTCAGGACAAGGCTAGCTATGGCTCCTCTGTCAGGAAGATGAAGTTCAACAGGCCCGCGAACACCCTTCTTCCACTTTGCAAGCCGATGAACAAAAATAGAGGGCTCTTCAGCTTGCGGTTCTGCTTGCGTTTCATTCCCGTTGTCAAGGGGTACGTCTTCATCAGCCATTCCTTGAGCCAGCTTGGAGCAAACAATCAGTTCCGGCTCATAGGGCTGCGTTTCTTGAAGTGTAGCCAATGCATACAAAGTCTGAGGTAAGTTGGTTGTGTCGGCTATATCTACGCATCCCAGTGGAATCAGCCTACCCAACTGAGCTGCTGTTTCTAAGCGCACAGCGCGTGCAAAACCCCAAACTCCTGCTTGGGAGCAGCCGCCACGGTGCCCGTCCGTGAACAAGCCCTTCGTTACAACCCATATGGGTCTAAGCTTCGCCGTCTTGTCAGACATTATGGCCCGACGGGCTGCTTTGCAGAGAGTCGTAAGGCCAACAACCACGGAAGTGTCACTTGCTGCGTCCGTAGTTGCCGCAACCACAATAAGTTTTGGAACCTCCTTGGAAGCTTCCGGCGCATTGACGAGCATTGGCATAAGGTCGTCCACACCCGGACTGCTCACGAGGCTGAACTTGAAGGGCTTCACAATCTCTTCGAGGTGAGTAAAGGTTGTGTCTTTTTGCTCCCGGAAGTCGACCAAGACAATCTCAAATTTGGCATCCTCAGGGATATTCTGCAGAGTCCTAAACTTTTGCCACTGCGATCGCCAGAGTAATTCTCGAGGAACTTCGGCTGCTGGGACGGGGTCCACCGCTCTCATTGTAAAGTGGGTAATAGTAGAAACCCACTCCCCATCTTCAGTCATAATTTCGATGTCCATCACTGCTTGGCTTGCATCGCGTTTCACGAGAGCGACGTGAGCAAGGAGAGCTTTATGCACGCCGTTCATGGATCCCATGGCTACTCGCTGAGCCATGAAAGGAATCATGAGCCGGAAAGGACGAGGTTGAAGCGAATCTCTCTTGGCTGCTGCAAGGTCATGTGACCGCACCAACGCCCCCACGGTTTGAAAGGTTCCATCAAGGACACATGGATGGAAACGGTAGCCAGTTTCTCCAGCGGCGATGGGGCCCGGTAGCTCGAGGCGCAATTTGGCGCTCGAAGGCCCGCATTCGATGGACTTGACTACACGGAACTTTGGACCAAGGACTAACCCATTGTCTTTAATAAGCTGATACATTTGGTCCACATCAACAGCCTGGCGATTCTTGTCTCCTTCAAAAATTTTTAGCAGCTCAGCAGATGACCTCCTGTCTATCTCTTGCTGCTCTTCCTTCATGTAGCGGCAGGATACGTGAACAAACGTTTCGTCGTCTTCCCCTTTAGAGCTCGAAAGAGTTACTTGGCCTCCGGGGGCTACGGTAACGAAAAGTCGTTGGGTATCATGCAGGCCCTCCGTGACCGGCTTTTCCAGGAGCATGGGACGCTGGAATTCTACTTCTTCCAGCACTACGATCCTAGAGTGGTCTACCTCAACTGGGCAGATACATCCGGAGGGCTTGGACCGCTTGCAGCTAACTGCCGCAGCCATAGTCTCCAAGTACAAGGCTCCCGGCATCACAGGGCGTTCGTGAAGCTTATGTTGTGCCATGATCTCGTAGTGCTCCCTCCTAACTTCTCCTTCGTAGATGATATCGCCGCTGTCCGTTTCTTGGACCCTAGCGAGATGAGGGTGCAAGACGTGGCGGGTATTGAAGCACTTACGCGACCAGGCTATTGGCTCTCTCCGCCTTGCAGTCGTCTCCAGTTGAACGTACTCCTCGAGCACCGCGTGTGCATTGGCACCGCCAAATCCGAAAGAGCTCACAGCGCCAAGCAACTTTGCGCTGCCTGAGAGACCCATCGAAGACTTCGGGAAAACTACCGGCATGTCGTCAAGCTCAATATATGAATTGAGTTTCTCAAAGTGAAGGTTTGGAGGGATCTCGCGGTGCCGAAGGCATAGCATAAGCTTTATTAGACCTGCTATTCCTGCAGCACCCTCCAAATGCCCAATATTGCTTTTGAGAGCTCCAATAAACAGTGGAGTTTCAGCAGTCCTTCCCAGTCCATAGACTGCACGAACGGCACCCATCTCGATTGGATCTCCAAGTGGAGTACCTGAATAGAATGGGCACACGGAATAAAGCTAGTGTCGCTGAGAAGCCACTTCTCCCCTTAGGTCAGTATCAGCACGGGGAAAACAACTCGAAAAGTGGCATCTTTTAACTTGACACGCTTTCGTTCTAACCTGTCCCGTGGGCCTCCAGGATTGTCACTTCATGGGGCTGAACCCCTGCCTGCCCCAGACATGATAGTATGACAGCTTGCTGGGCAGGACCACTAGGCGCAGTCAGGCTTGCACTCCTCCCTCCGTGGTTCACAGCAGAACCTCTGAGGGTGGCAAAAACTGGATTTCCATCCTTCAAGGCGTCTTCGAGAGGGCGCAGGAAGATCATACCAACACCTTCACCTCGTGCGTATCCATTAGCTCGCTGATCAAATGAGCGACAGCGGCAGTCTGGGGAAATCATGCGGGCTTTTGCAAAGCAAATAAATAGGTTTGGAGACAACATTATGTTGACGCCTCCAACCAGAGCGCCTGTGCAAATGCCTTCAGAGATCTTTGTAGCTGCGCCGTCCAAAGCCACGAGGGACGAAGAGCACGCAGTGTCAACTGTAAGTGAGGGTCCTTTTAGGCCAAAGACGTACGATACTCTGTTCGAGATTATTGAGGGGGCTCCACCAGTACCTGCACGAGCCAACAGCAAACACTACATTTTGGCTTTAGGCAAGTGAGCCGGTTAAATATTAACAAACGCGTCCCCACGACGCACCGGAGTGAGATTCGGTTAATACTGTGCCCCTCAGCCGAAGCGGGAACTTTGCACGGCGCACCTGTGAAAGAGCCGGAGGGAAGTTCAAGCATGTGCCAATCGGAATTACAGCAACCAACGAAGCAGCCAATTTCCTGGTCAACTAAGTCAGTTTTCTCGAAGCCAGCAGACCAAACAGCATCATATGCAACTTCCATCATGAGACGCTGTTGGGGATCCATCACTTGTGCCTCGATATTGCTAATGTTAAATAACGAATTGTCGAAGTGGAAAGGCTGCCCAACCATAGCACCAAGCTTTGCATAGGTCGTATCAGGGTGGTCAGGATCGCGATTGTAAAAGGCAAACATGTTCCACCTGTCAAGCGGAATTTCATCCATGCAGTCTGTTCCTGCCTGCAGCATTTCCCAGAAACGCGCTGTAGTCGTGGAACCACCCGGCATGTGGCAGGCCGCTCCAACAATTGCAATTGCGCCCACCCTCCTTTCTGTTTTCGAAACCTTTCCGAAACCGCTTGACAAGCCCCCAAGATTATGGCCTGAAAACTGCTCAGCTATGGTCTTGTTGACGTAACCGATCATTGCTCCCACAGTTGGGTAGTCAAACATAGCAGTGGCTGGTAGTTTGATCCCAAGAGTGCTTGATAGAGAATTTCTAAGCTCCACTGCGCCAATGGAATCGATGCCCAATTCTTGCAGAGGCTGATCCATCGCCGGAGGCGTAGTAAGCCCCAGAGACGTCATGACCAGCTCGATAACCTTCTTCTCCACAAAGGCATGCCTGTCCTGAGAATTCATTGAACTTAAAATGGGGAGAGAAGTCGGAGTCACCTGGAAGTCGCGAGTGGCGTTTTTAAGCAACGCGGGGACTCTATCGTACCTGAGGGATACGGCGCCAAACACCCATTTACGAAACAACTGCCTCAGTAGCCCAACAAGAAAGCTAGTACACATGCAGAAACATTAGAAGGCTGACTCACCTCATGAGGAAGTTGCGCCATCTGAAGGATTGGCACATCAAGACACCATAACGGTCTCCACTCCGCATAACGTCTTGGAGAACCCTGGTGCCTATTTCGTCAGTGATTCCCCTCATACCTGCTTTCTCCAAAAGAGGCTTAAGCCCAGCGGCCATGCCTTGCTCGATCCATGGACCCCACTGGATACTCTGTCCACACAATCCTATGGATCGACGCCACGATGCAAGGGAGTCGAGGCACGAGTTGGCCGCTGCGTAGTTCGCCTGACCAAAGTTACCTAGGATGGCTGTAACGGAAGAGAACATCAAGAAAATTTCGAGGTCCTTGTTCAAGTCCAACTCATCGCACACCTCATGCAAATTCCAAGCACCCACCACCTTCGCGCCATAAACCTTCTCAATTGATGCCTTGTCTTGCTCTGCGAGGGCCTTGTCGTCAGTCACTCCTGCTGCATGGAATATGCCGCGCACGGGAGGCCAATCATCAGACTGAAGCTCC